CCAACCACCCAACTATCTCTAAACCTAGGTATGGCGATCCCCTTATGAGCCGGAACAGTAATCACAGGTCTCCACCACAAAACAAAAACATCCCTAGCCCATTTCCTACCACAAGGAACACCTACTCTCCTCATTCCAATACTTGAAATCATCGAGACCATTAGCCTCTTCATCCAATGACTGTTTGTCCCAGTCTGTGTGTTCCAGTGTTTGGGTATGTTACAGTGTCCGTTGATCAACACCATGACACTCAGACACTGGAGCACAAAGACACTAGGATACACATATGCTTGGGTTTGTGTGTCCCAGTCAATGTGTCCCATTGTCTATGTATCCTAATGCCTGTTTCTCAGTGTCCGTGCATCCCATTTTCTATATGTCCCAGTGTTGTGTATTTCCCAATGACTGTATATCCAACTGTCTGTGTGTCTTGGTGTCTCTGTAAGTCCAAGTGTCCGTGTATCTCAGTTTCTGTGTCCCAGTGCCTGTGTACCCCAGTGTCTGTATGCCTTATTATTTGTGCATCCCAAAGCCTGTCTCCTAGTGTCTGTGTATCACAGAATCTGTGAATGTCTCAGTGTTGGTGTGTCCCAATGTCTGTGTAACCTGTGTGTGTGCACTAACATCTGTGTGTCCCAGTGTCTGCACACCACTGCCTATTTGCCCCAGTGACTGAATGTCTTAATGACTGTACGTCTCCATGTCTCTGCATATTTGTGTGTCTATGTGACTTAAGGGCTATGTGTCTCAGTGTCTACGTACTACAGTGTCTGTGTATGCCAATTTTTCTTTATCTCTGTAAATGAGTGTATTAATGCTGGTGTGCCCCCAGTGTCTGTGTGTCAGTGTCAGCACATTTGTTGTGTATTTGAGTTTCAGTGTTTCTGTGTGCCTCAGTGTCTGTATCCCAGTCTTTGTATGCCCTAATGTTTTTGTACTAGTGTCTGTGTGTCTCAATGTCTTTGAAAAGAGTGTCTATATGTCTCAATGTCTATGTGTCCTAGTGTCTGTGCATGTCCCAATGCTGTATGTTCCAGTCAGTGTCTGTGTCAATGTCTGTATGTCCCAGTATTTTTGTGTCCTACTGTCTGTGTGTCTCAGGGTCTGTGTATCCCAGTGTTTGTGTGTCCTAGCATCTTTATGCCTAAGAGTCTGTGCATCCTGATAGGTGTATGTGACAGTGTCTTTATGTCCCAGAATCTGTGTGTGTCCCAATGAATGCATATTCCTATGCCTGTATTTCTTTCTTTTGTATTTCTATTTATTTTATTTTATTTTATTGGTTATGAATATTCATGAGATACAAAGCTGATTGTCGCCCCTCATGCCCATGATGTGGGGGCCAGATTCATACTGGCAGCATAGTGTTTATGTCAAAGTGTCCATGTTCCTCAGATTCTGTGTGTTCCAGTGCCTATGTATATACTTAAGAGTGTATATAGCCCACTGTTTGTGTGTCCCACTATCTGCTTGTCTCATTGGCTGTGAGTCACAATGTCTGTGTATTTCTCAGTGACCATTTGCACTTGGGTCTTTGTGTCCCAGTGCCTGTGTGTCTCTGGGTCTGAACATGTCAGTCTCTGTGTTTTTCATTATCAGCATGCCCCAATGTCAGTATGTTGTACTGTGTCTCTCAGCTTCAGTTTCTGTGTGCCTCCATCTCTGCATCCTAGTGTCTGTGTGTTTCCACATCTGTGTATGCCAGTCTCTGTATGTCCCAAAGTCTATGTGTTCCAGATGTATATGTTGATTTAAGCCCATGTGTTTAAGTGGAAGTGTCTCCGTAACCCAGTGTCTCTATATATCACTGTCAATGAATCCCAGTGTTTGTGTGTCTCTGGGTCTGCATATGTTTCAGTGTCTGTGCTTCTCAGTGTTGGTGTATCCCACTGTCTGTGCATTATAGTGACAGCATGTTACATTGTGTCTCTAGTTTCAGTAATTCCATGTGCCTCTGTATCCCTGTCTCTCTATGTACCAGTATCAGTCATATGTGTGTGTGTGTATGTGTGTGTCCAACTGTCTGTATGCCTCAGTGTTTGTGTATCCCAGTGTTTTTCATCCCAGCATCTGTATGTCTCAGTGTCTGGAGTGCCAATGTCTGTGTATCTCAGTGTCTGTGTATACCCCAATATCTGTATGTCTCAGATTCTGTATATCCCATTTTCTGTTTACACTTCTTTCTATAGATCCTAGTGACTGTGTGTCCCAGAGTAAGCATGTCACAGTGTGTCTATTTGTTTCAGTGTTTTTATGTGCTTTGGTGTCTGTACCCCAGTTTCTGTGTACATATCTCAACATCTGTATGTCCTAGTGTCTGAATATATTCCAGTGTCTATATGCCCCAGTTTCTGATTACCCCCAGAGTTTGTGTGTTCCAGTAACTGTGTGCTGCAATGTCTGTATGTGTCAATCTGTGTGTCTCAGTGTCTGTATGTCTCAGTGGTTGTTTGTTTCAGTGTCTGTGCTAAAGTGTCTCTTTCCCAGTGTCTGAGTGTCCCAGTGACTGTCTCCTACAGGGTCTCTGTACATCCAAGTGTCTGTGTGTCAGAGGTTGTGTCCTAGTGACTATATACCCCAGTGTCTGTGTACCTCAATGTCTATAAGTTTCAATTCCTGTTTTTACTCCTGACTGTGCACCAGTGTCTGTGTGTCCCAGGGTCTACGGGTCTCAGTGTCTACTCTCGGTGTTGGTGTGTCCCAATGTCACAGTGTCTGTAGATCACAGACTCTGTACTCTAATGCCTGGTTGTCCCAGTGTCTGTTTATGTCCTAATGACTGTATGTTCCAGTGTGTGTGTGTCTTGGTGTCTGTTTATGTCTCAGTATCTGTGTTCCTCAGTTTCTATATGTCCCAGTGTTTGTGTACCCTGGTGATTATTTGTATGTTGCATTGTGTCTTAGAGTTTCAGTGTTTCTCTGTACCTCCCTAGTGTCTGTGTGTCACAATGTCCGTTTGTCCCAGTGTCTGTAAGGCCCAGTTCCATGCAGTCCTGTGTGTATATGTGCTACTGTCTGCATATGCCTTAATGACTGTGTGTCCCAGTGCTAGTGTACCTCTATGTATGTATATTCCAGTTTGCTTGTTCCACTATTTGTGAGTCCCAGTGTCTGTGTGTCTCAGTGTTTTTTATGTCCTTGTGTCTGTGTGCCTCATTGTCTGTTGACCCAGTGTCAGCATGTTTCTGTGGCTCTGAGCTTCAGTTTTTGTGTGCTTCAGTCTCTGTACCTCAGTTTCCATGTGTCCCAGTGTGTGTTTGTGTGTGTGTGTGTGTCCCAGGCTCTGTGTGTCCCTCTGTCTGTGTAACCTAGTGTCTGTGTACCAGTGTCTGGTCCCATTGTCTCTGTGTTCCAGTGTTCCTTTGTGTTCTGATATCTGTTCTAATGTGTATGTGTGTTAAGTATTTGTATGTGCTACTGTTTCAAGGGTTGTCTATGTTTCCAAATGGCTGTATGCATCTTAATATCTGTATGGCAAGTGTCTGGCTGTGTTCCAGTGTCTACGTATTTCAGTTTTCCAAGGTTTATGTGTCCCATGTCTCTGTGTTCTGATGTCTATGATTTCCATTGTATATTGTGGCCCGGTATCTGTGTGTCTCTGGTTCTCTGTAAGTCTGAGTTTCTTTTTTTTTTTTTTTCCGTCTTTTTTCGTGACCGGCAACGGAATCGCAACCCTCAGTGTTGCGCCCGCACCGTGCTCAACCAGTGAGCGGACCGGTCACCATATGGGATCTGAACCCTCGGCGGGAGCGCCGCCACGCTCCCAAGCGCCGCACTCTACCAAGTGCGTCACCGGGCCGGCCTGTAAGTCTGAGTTTCTGTGTCTCATTCTTTATGTACCACTATGTCATACATCCTATTAGTTTTCATGTTTCAGTGTCTCTAGATCCCCATCTCTGGGTGTCCTTGAATCTCTGTGTTCCTTTGCTTCTGTCCTTGTCTCTGTATGTCCCTGATCTCTGTGTTTCAGTGTCTGTGCATCCTTGTCCTTATATATACTTGAGTTTTTGTATATCCTGAGCATCTGTTCTAGTGTTTGTGTCTCCTTGGATCTCTGTGTCCAAGTGTCAGGGCATCCAATGAGCCTCTGTGTTCAAGTATTAGTGTGTCCCTTTTCCTGTATGTTGTTGAGTTTTTGTGTGCTCCTGATCCTTTACATGTCCCTGCATCTTCGTGTGTCCTTGAATTTCTGTGCATCCCTAAGTCTGTGTGTCCCTGAGTCTTTGCATGTGACCTCATATCTGTGCAACTCTATGTCTGGGTGCCCATTAGCCTCTGTGTTCCAGTGTCTGTGTGTTCATGAATCTGCATGTGCCTCCATCCATGTGCCTTGTGTTAGTGAGTACCTGAGTCTGTGCATCTCTGAAACTCTGCTCTCTGCTCTCTGTGTCTGTGTCTCTGTTTGTGTTTTGGTATTTATCCTTTTCTTCATCTATTTTCTCCAGCTGTTGTCAATCTCAGTTCTGCCAGTGTCTCCTGACCTACCCATCTGGCTTCCTGCAATTCCCCTTCATAGTAGCCTCCAGCAGGATCATTGTAATACCTAGATCTGATTGTGTCTTTCCTCTGCTTATAACCTTTCATGGCTCCCCATTGCCTTCAGGATAAAGCCAAATTCCTCATTTTTGCATTCAACTCTGACCACTCTAGTGCCACCTTCACCAACCTCCATTCCTTTCCTCCGCACTCTTGCTCAGCCTTCTAGACTCAGCATGAGTGGGTCTCCCTCATCCAGGAGGCCTTTATTGAGCTCCGAGGCTGGGTGAGGTTCCATACCCTGGGTTCCTCTAGCTCCCTGGGCTGCTTTCTGTCCAATGCTGATCCCTCCTTGTGATCACTATCATGTTTGGGTTTGCCCTCTCCCCAGACCAGGAACTACCCAGGGGCAGAGCCTGCCTGGCTCTGATTCCTCTCAGTGGTTGGGGGTATGAGGTACTGGAGGCTCACTGGCCTTTCACCCTGGCAGGGTTGATCTTGGAGCTGGTATTCCCTGCCTCCTCTCAGCCCCCAAAATACTTACCCATCAGGCCATGGGCTGAGGGGCTGAGGCCCAAGCCACTGGCCATGTGGAACCCCAGGTGAGATAGTTGCAGGGTTCTGGGGTGCCTGTAGCACTGCCAGAGGACTAGTAATTCAAGGTGGGGCCCAAGGCAGAGGGTGAGGCAGGGTGAATCAACCACATGGAGCTCCAGCTGGGGTCTCTTCAGCAGGGCAGGCTGGTCCCAGGACAGGCACAAGGTACACTCACCTCACACAGATATGGAACTACAGCTGATGATGAGTGTAGGCCCAGGGTCTGTCTGCAGTGATTGTGATGATCTGAAAGTAGGTGTGCATCTGGTCTTCGTGGCCTGGTCTTGGTGGTGCCCCAAACAGCCGCCCACTCACATGCAGCTCTGGAGGGAGAGGAGTGTGGGCCTGGAATACAGGCTTTCACATGGTCATCCACATTGTTACCCACAGCATGGGCAGGGGTAAGGTCTGGGGGCCTAAGGTCCAGATGAAGCAGTGCAGGTTTGTGGCCAGATATAGAGGATATTGACTAAGAAGTTATTAATGAGATAGAAATAAAACACATGTATTTTGCAGGACCAAAGTCCTTAGTTTAGGCCAAAGCCTGTAGCTTAGAAGGACAAAGCCTGTAGTTTAGAGGATTAAAGTCCTGTAGTTTAGGGGGCTGAAGCCCAACCCTTTAGGAAAACACGTACAAATGCTAATGTTAAGAAAGACCAGAAAACTTTCACAGGACCAAATCCTTTGACATAGGTAAGAGAATTGGAGCACAGCAAAAAGTGATTGCTCTGGGGGCAGTTGCCCTTGATGCAGTTAAACCTATATGCTGGGAAAGTATGTAAGCTATGATCTTCAAGGATATTTTACTAGATTAGTTAGAACCTGGGGGATGTTCCACATGTTGCCCTAAGCTGTTTCTTTGAGTTTCTTGGGGAGTTAAGTGCTTTGGTGATTATCTCATTGTTTCTTTTTGTACATCACATAGCTTAGTTTTATGACTTCTTTTGGTGGTGGTAAATTGCTTGAACTATTTTAAACTACACCTGCTTAATGAAGATTGTCACATAACCAGTTTGTTTATGTTTTCACTATGATTGATTAACCATCTGTTTTTCTTCTGTAATTTTCTTGTCTTTACAATAAAAACTGAAGCAAAAACCGACTTGGGGCTGTGCCTGGGCTCTCCTCTCTTGAAGGAGTTTTCCCTTGGTGCAGTCCCTTTGGGCTTCTCATTGCTCTGAATACATGGGCTCTGAGTAATCTTTTGCATCTCTGTCATTCTGTAAGAGGTGACAGCTAGAGGGCTGGATCTTGAGAGAAAATGTTTCTACATGGTCCACTCGGCTGCTCCTTCCTGAGCACTGTGTGTGCGGGGGGTTGGGGGGCAACGCATGTGGTATGTGTGCACATGCTCACCCCTGTGTCACTGTTTGCATGTATATGTGTGTGTTTGCCTCTGAGCATGTAAATGTGTGTTTGCTTATGTTCATATGAGTATCTCTGGGCATAGGAGTGCATCTGCATGTTTGGAGCAGGTGATATGTTAGAGTATGTATGTTTATGTATGCCTCTGGATGTCTCAATGCAATAGTGTGTGTTGTGTGTGTCTGGCTTTGTGTTGGTATGCGCTGATGTGTATCTGGGTGTCAGTATGCATGCATCTTAATGTGTGTTGGTGGGTATTTCTGTGCATCAGTGTGTTTCACATGTTTAGAGTAGCACAGTGGGTTTGCCGCCTGTGTGTGTTGAATTCTTGGGAATTGGGATGAATCTAGGGGTATCAGAGCTTGTGTGTCTGAATATGGGCATGTATTGTGTGTTAGTGTGTGTCTGGGTGTATATTTGCATATGTGTATCTGGTGTGTATTTGTGTGAGTTTACTGCGTGTCCTGGGGTGTGTGTACCTGTGACTGTCTTGGTATTTATCTGAATGTATTTGCATGTGTTTTCATGTGTGTCTGGGTGTGTTCTTATGCTTTACTGTGTGTTAGTGAGGTGCACTGCTGTGTGTCTGGGGAATTGGTCCACAAATGTCTGTGGTGTTGACATGAGTTTATCTGGCTGTGTTGTATGGGGATGGAATCTTTGGGACTCTCACCTGCAGCAGGTCCCCTGGGCACCCATCCAGTGTAAAGAAGATCCTCTCGTCTGATCTTGGGATGCAGATCACAAAGTGGAGGTCACTATCCACTGCAAGGCAGGATATACAACTCTGAATTTATGGCCTGGAAAGAATGAGAGGGAGGAAAGGGAAGGGGAGAAGAGAGGAAGGGAAGAGAGCCCAACCCTAGTCCCAGTGCACAACCTGTCCTGTACTTAAGCAGGAGGGCCATGGGGGTGGCTGGCTTACCTGAGGATGAGAATGCAAAGATGCTTGGCAACATGCCTGCAAAGGAAAGGGGGCTACACTGGTGAGACACTGATCTATCACATTCGTAGGAACTTTGGGGCTCCCTGGCCTCTGAGTCACCACCCTCAGATAAGGGTCAAATTCTTGAGCTCAGCATTTAAGCCTTTTCTGAAGTCCAGCCCCTGGCTAGCTCTACAGTCTTTTCTCGATGCTCCAGTCCAACCGAACTGACTGTTCTTAGGAGTGCCCTGCTGTGTCTTGCTAGTCATCTTTTGTTCCTTTTTTTTCCTACTGCTTGAATGTTTTCCTTTCTCTTAACTACCAAGGATCAATTTCTAATTATCCTTCAAGGCCAGCTCAAATACTATTTTCTCTTGCTAAATTCTAAATAGCTCCCAATATTCTTTAGTGTACACACCCTGTAAAATCCCCAGAACTGTGAATATGATGAGATATCACTCCCATAAATAGGTTGTGTCATGTGGTCCTTTTGACCTTAATAAACGGAGATTACCCAGGTGGGCCTGACCTAACCACACGAACCCTTTAAATCTGGGTCTAGAGGTTGGAGACAGAGAAGTCAAAGAGATTTGAAGTGTGTGAAGGGTTTGACATGAGGGAGATGCTCCATAGCTGCCTTTGAAGATGGAGGTGGCCACTTGACAAGGAATGCAGGAGAATTCTAGGACCTGCTAGTGCCCCCAGGTGGCCATTAGGAGCTGAGAGACCCCCAGCCAACAGCCAGCAGGGAAACAAGGACCTCAATCCCACAAACACAAAACTGAATTCTGCTAACATCAGGAATGAGTGTGGAAGAGGATGTGAACTCAGTCTGACAGACACTGATTTCAGTGTTGTGAGATCCTGAGCAGAGAATCTGACTAACTTGCGTCTAGATTTCTGACCTACAGAACTGTGAGATTACTTTCGGGTGTTGTTTTAAGCTGCTAAATTTGTGGTAATTTGTTATGCAGCAATAGAAAACGAATACCTTGCCCCTCCTCTGGGCTCCCACAGTGTCAATGAAAATTCTAATTGAGTGGAAATGAAGGCTTAGGGATCTTTGCCAGGGGTGCTCCTTGCTCACCTTTTGCTAGCCTCACAGAACTTCCCTGAGATGCCATGCTGCCTCCAGCTCTTCCCAGGATCTCCTCAGAATCGCCATCCCAATGTAGACTTCCTGCTAAGCACAAAAGAAATAAGAGAAAGCTTTCACACTCCCAAGGCAAAGATGCTCTGTTGCCCACCAAAGGGCTCACCTTTCTGAACAGGAGAACTCTCACTGGCTTCCCAAACTGACCTGCCCATCTCCTGGACTGGGACCTTATACTCTCCACAGCTGCTTAGTCTTCCAAGCTCAGATATATTCAAAGTTCTTCCTTAAAGCATTGATATATTCATTCATCTATTCATTCATTCAGGCATCAGGGATACAGTGGAGAAAAAGACAGACATGGTTTCTGACCTGGTGAAGCTCATAGTTTAGTGGGGGAGGCAGACATGAATGAAATCATAATTACGAATGGTGATAAATGCTATATGAAAAAATAATGGAGTGGCTGAGGGAGTTACAGAGACCTGAAGTAGCCTGTGGGGGGAGGGTGGACAAGGAGATCTAAGCTAAGATCTAAGGAATGAGCTGGAGTTTGAGGGGCAATGAGGGGATGAGGGCAGTAGGAAGGGGCAGGTCAGGCATTTATCAAACAGAGGAGCAGCTTGGAAGAAGTCCCTGAATGGAGGTGGAGAGGAGGCCCATTGGAGGAGCAGAGAGAAGACCAGTGGGGCTGGAGTTCAGAGAGTGAGTGGCAGAGTGGGAGAAGGTGACGTCAGAGAGGTATGGGGTTGAGAGAAGACACTGCAGGGACTTGCAGGCTATGAAGAGGTCTTTGGACTTCATTCTAAGTGTGATGGGAAACCCTTGAGGGGGATTAAGTAGGAAAGGGACATGAAGTGATTTGTATCTTTAAAAGACCCATTTGGAGCTGACCCTGTGGCTCACTTGGGAGAGTGTGGTGCTGGGAGCGCCGAGGCCACAGGTTCGGATCCTATATAGGGATGGCCAGTGCACTCACTGGCTGAGCGTGGTGCAGACGATACTGTGCTGAGGGTTGCAATCCCCTTACTGGTCAAAAAAAAAAAAAAAAAAAAAAAAAAAAAGATCCCTTTGGCTGCTGGGAGAAAATGGCCTGTAGTAGGACAGGAGAGGAAGCAGAGAGTCCAGTGAGGAGGCTGGAATAGTTTTCTAGGTGAGACACAACGGTGGTTTGCCGTAGGACAGTGAAAGCTGGGGTAGTGAGATGTGAGTGGATTTGGGAAATGTATTTGAAATAACATTGCCAGGAATTGAGGATGGATTGGATATTGGGGGGGAGGGCAATAAGGTAGAGTGTGTCATGACTAAATTTGTATCCCTGTGACTTACTGCCACCTTCAACTGGTTCTAATCCTGCCCTATAAGGTCATCCAGGAAATGTCACTTCTTCTCCTAGGAAGGCAGAATCATGCAGTGGTGAAGCACATTCATTCTGGAACCAGACTGTATGGGTACAAATGTCTGACTTGCTGTGTGGCATTGAAAGAGTTACTTCACCTCTCTGCACTTTGGTTTCCCCATGTGTAACACTTAGATTTTAATGGTTTCTTGTGAGGCTTAAATGAGAGACTACAAGTACAATATATAGAACAGTACCTGACATAGGAAGAGCTCAAAAATGTAAACTATTATTATTTCATAGTCTTTGGGAAATTTCAAGATAATTGTCATCATCTTCCCAAATTCGTATCCTTTCTCATTAAGCAGGGCTGTTCACAGAGCTCACAAAAGCCAATCAGACCTGCCTTGCACAGGAATGTTCCAATTTATACTCCCACATCCCTCCCCTGCTTGGGAAGCATCAGCAATCCTCTTGTCAAACAAAGCAAATGTCAAAAGCTACAGCTTGGCCAGTTTCTGTTCAGGCTTCCCAGTCGTTAACATCCCTCCTGTCCCAAGGCCTTTAATTCTGTGCCTATGTATTTGAGGCCCAGAGAAGATAAGTAAGTAGTCCAAAGTCCCAAAGCAAGCACTCAAGCAGCTGTACTCGCACTAGAATCTGCAACAGGCCTGTAGACTCCCAGCTCCTGGTGCTCTATTCATACCTCTCCCACATGGATCAACCTCTTGCCCATGGCACTCACCATCTTTGTCAGGAGTGAGGAAGGTATAGAAAGCTGGTGGGTTCAAGGACTCCATGAACTTGTACTCCACCATTAACTCAGACAGCAGCTCAAGCTCCTCAGGGAGAAGGAGCAGACTGATGGCCTCAAGGAGGGTGCTAGAAGGCAGCAAGATTGGCAGGTTTGGAGGGCTGCCTTCTGCCATAGGCCTGGAGCTGTTGGGTAGGCCCATCGTTGGGACTCCTGGCACAGATGGTCCCAGAACTTGCCTGGTGCTCTGGGGTCCCAGCAGCAGGTCTTGCAGATACCAGAACCTTCCAGTGGGTAGCAGAGAGGGCAGGGTGAGAGTAAAGGGAGTTTGGAGGGGTTCCCCAAGGTCAGAGGTGATCATGGTACTGCTGGGACCTGTGGGACTTGAGACTGTGTTTGGGAATGTGCTTAGGCTCTGAGGAGGTGGAGGCCTGGGTCTTGCAGGTCTAGGGGGTAGTGGGGTTTTGGGTGTATGGGAGATTAAGGTCCCAGGCTTGGAATGTGATAAGAGTGTGGAAGTTTGGTGAGGTTGGATACTAGGTTTAAGAGATGATGGGATTTTAGGGGTCCTGGGTAAGAGAGCCCCAGGTCTGAGGTGTGGCATGTTGTTTGGGATCTTGGGATCAGGAACCCTAGGACTGGTGTGTGTTGGGTGTTTGGGGATCTGTCCTGTGGAGACTCTAGGTCTGGGCTGTGGCAAGCTTTTGGGTGACTGTGATGTGTGTACCCTGGGTTGAGGGTGTGATGAGGCCTTCAGTTTAGGTTGTGATGGAGCACCGGGTTTGGAATGCAGTAGAGTAACATGTTTCATAGTGCCAGCTTTTGGCTGGGCTGGGTTAGGGTGCTAGGATTCAGTGGTAGTATTTACATCTTGGCATTCATAGGTAATATGGATTCTGGTGTGATAGAGTGCTGGGATTTGGAGGCAATAGAGCACCAGAATTTGAGGGCACAAGGGCAGCAGGTTTTGTCTTGAGAGTTGGCTGGGCCAAAGTGCCAGAATCCTGTTGTGCTGGAGTTTGGGGCTTTGGGGTTGATAGAGCCCCGACCTGTCTCCTTGGAATTGGGCATCTTCTTTGTAGATGCAGTAGTAATTGAGGATAAGTAGAACTTTGGTTTTGCAGGCCTTGATCTGGGGGAGACCTTGGGCACCAGGGCTGGCTGGGCTACACCTGCCCCTAAGCCATGCCTGCTGCTGGATGAGGGCATGATGGTGCGCGGTCCAGCTGTGGTGGAGGTCTGTCTCTTGGCCTCCTCACTGGCCTCCTTGGGCTGCACCATGACCAGTGAAGTCAAAGGTGTGCCAAAGTTGTATTCAAGGGACAGGTTGAGGACTTTGGCAGCCAGCAGGTGGCGAGTGGTGGTGTCACAGGCTTGGAAGTGTGCTTCCAGCCACTCTCCAATGGTGACATAGCCCCAGAGGTGGTGGATGAAGTGGGCCACATTATGGACTGGCTCTCATGGGCAACCAAAGGCCTTCTGGCTGCTGTTGGTGTCCCCTTCACTGTGATGAGCCACAAGAAGCTGACCCTTGGGGCCACGGGCTGCCAGGTGGACTCCCAGCTCCTGCTTGCCTGGCTTCACCTAGCCTGGCACAACTAGTTCTGAGACACCAAAGTAGTTGGGAAAAAGGGCCCAAGGGGAGGCCCCAACCAAGCTGCCCAGGTAGTCCAGATGCATGTCTGCCAGCAGAGGCATGGAGATCTCCTCACAGAGGCCTCCCAGCTGTAGGGCTGCATTGGTGTCCTCTATATGCACTGGGCTGCTTCCCGGTTCTCCAGGGACAGACGATGCAACAGTAGGAAGTCAGCATCATCTCCAAAGGCCAAACTGAAAAGGGATGCCCTGTGGCCCAGCACCTGACGGACATGGGAGAGGATCACACTGGGGGTGGTCATGCTGGCTGTGGGCTCCCCATCTGTCAGAAAGATGATAAGAGGGATCCTCCCCTCACTGGAGACCCTCCCAGGCTCCTGGTTGCTATGGTTCAGCACTGAAGCAGCTGCCAGCAAAGCTGCATTGATGTCAGTCCCTAATTGGGCAGCAGACTGTGAGACCATCTTCTCTGGTCACTTCTACCCCCATTACAGACACACTGAGTACCTCACCAACCCCTCAGGCTCTGTCACATCTCTTCATCTTTGCTCAGGCTGTTTCTGCTGCTGCTTCTTTCCGACTCCCCTGCCCCCAGCCAGGCTCCCTGAGATCTAATGGTTGGGACCACATGTCCTTGGCTGTTATCACTCCCTGTCTCAGACTGTTCTTTGCCTGTTTCCCAGGGGGATGTCTCATTCCCTGCTGAGACTAGCAGCTACCCAAGGATAACACCTGTACCTTCTTGCCACAGGGGGCCCAAAGAGAAATGTGCTCTAAGACACATGGAAAATCAGCTGTTATCTTTCCACAAGGAAAGGGAGATGAGAAGGGAACACAGAGGATAAAGGAACATACTTGCATTTGTGTAAAATGTAATAGTGATATTTCAGGCACTATGAGAGGTGAGGAGGATGGGAGAATGAAGAGAGGGCTTCAGGCATTTCCCACATCACCATAGCCTGCCCATTTGGGTGGGTAGGTCTAACACTTACAACCATCAGCTTCCATGCAACCCAGCACTGTGTTGCACCGTGATGCAGTTCAGTTCCGTGGCACTGTGGACATTCTGGATAGTGGCCTGGATTGAGCCTCCAGCTTTCCAGACACTAACCGTGTCAGAAAAGGAGATGATGTTGAAGTAGTCGTTGATCCGCAGGTCACTGAGAATCACATTCATGGCCTTTTTAGTCTGCGGGATATGGATGAAGTGAAGGAGATGAAATAAGACTTGAGGTACATCAGATTGAAAGGATTTTTCTATACAAGGCACTAAGGTGTTGTATGGTTGTAAGACCCCCTACACTTGGATTCTCAGGTCAAAATGCTTTATGGGGGCCGGCCCCGTGGCTCACTTAGGAGAGTGCGGCACTGGGAGTGCTGAGGCCGTGGATTTGGATCCTATATAGGGATGGCCAGTGGGCTCACTAGTTGAGCATGGTGCAGACCACACCGTGCTCAGGGTTGCAATCCCCTTACTGGTCAAAAAAAAAAAAATGCTTTATGGGCTCCATGGTCCCAGGCCTAGAACTGCACTGTTCAATATGGTAGCCACATATTTAAATTTAAATGTAAATTAGTTAAAATTTAAAAAAATTAAAAATTAAAAAAATCAGTTCCTCACTTGCAGTAGCCACATTTCAAGTGTTCAAAAACCACAGGTGGCCAGTGGCTACTATATTAGACAGCTCCAAACTTCAGAACATTTCCATCAGGAAAGTTCTGTTGGAACCTGAATTGAGCTCCTAGTCCAGAGAGAAACCAGACAATTAAAATAGCAATTACAATGAAGGAAAAAATAATTTTAAAAAAGAAAGTTCTGTTGGACAGCACTAGACTAGAAGGTTCAAGCTCTATGCTTTCAGAGCTCTAGAATCCATGTGTTCTATGGTTCCTGGGCTCCACAACCCAGGATTCAATGATTCTAGCACACTAAAGTTTAAGGGCTTTATTATTGCAGGCCTTTATAGCTGCTCTTAAATGACTTTGCATGCTTTGGTTCTACTCTAATATGCTCTTCTTCCTCACCCCCTGTTTCTTCCAGGCTAGTCATCTCACCAGCCCCAAGATAACTCAGATTCCCTCCCCCCTCCATAACTTTGCTCCTGTTGTGCCCTTTAGATAACATACCCCACCATTTTCTTTTATTTATTCATATCTTCACTGTTATTTCAGTTGTTCCTTCTCTGGAAAGCCCTTCTTTGACTTTCATACCCTGACCTTTGCCCTTCTCACCCATATATTCTCTGTCCCAGACTGTTTGCTGACTGTCCTATGTAGAATATTTTTACTCTCTATCCAGATATTGAGCCCTCTGAGGACAGGGCTTAGAATGCTTTTTCTTCCTGTCTCCCTTCTCCATGACAATACTTAGCATAGGGCTAGGCACATAGGAGGCTCAGGGAACAGGGCTTGTAGGTTATAGTACTACAAAACATTTGTAGGATACTTGCTATGTTCCAGGCACTATGCTAAATACTTTAGATGCATCAGCTCATTTAATCCTCACAGCAATTCAGTGAGGAAGATACCAAGTTCATTGGTGATGCTGTTCAGTTCAATTACGTCCTTACTGACTTTCTGCCTGCTGGATCTGTAAATTACTGGTAGAGGGGTGGTGAAGTCTCCTACTATGTTAGTGGATTCATCTATGTCTCCTACAAGTTCTATCAGTTTTCACCTCATGAATTTTGGTGCTCTGTTGTGTATTCTTAGAAAATCAGCCCCTTTATCACATATAATGCACCTGTTTATACCTGATAATTCCCTTGCTATGAAGTCCATTTTGTCACAAATTAATGTGGCTACATCTGCTTTCTTATGATTTGTGTTAGCATGGTATAAATTTCTTTATCCTTTTAATGTAAAAAAAAATGTTCAACTATACTACAATTTAAGTAATAAGCAAAATAAACAGCACCCATGTGAGCCAAACTTATTACTTTTGATCTTTCCGTGTCTTTATATTTGAAGTGAGATTTTGGAAACAACATGCAGTTGGGACTAGTATTATTCAAAATGATGGTCTATATCTTTTAATTAGTGTATTTAAACCATTAATGTTTAAAGTGTTTACTGATGTAGCTGGATCAATATATGCCATATTTGTAACTGCTTTCATGAACCACAAGAGACCCTAAATAGTCAAACAATATTAATCAAAAAGAACAATGC